GGTCAGATGAAACCAAAATAGAACTTTTTGGTAAAAACTCAACTCGTCGTGTTTGGAGGACAAAGAATGCTGAGTTGCATCCAAAGAACACCATACCTACTGTGAAGCATGGGGGTGGAAACATCATGCTTTGGGGCTGTTTTTCTGCAAAGGGACCAGGACGACTGATCCGTGTAAAGGAAAGAATGAATGGGGCCATGTATCGTGAGATTTTGAGTGAAAACCTCCTTCCATCAGCAAGGGCATTGAAGATTAAACGTGGCTGGGTCTTTCAGCATGACAATGATCCCAAACACACCGCCCGGGCAACGAAGGAGTGGCTTCGTAAGAAGCATTTCAAGGTCCTGGAGTGGCCTAGCCAGTCTCCAGATCTCAACCCCATAGAAAATCTTTGGAGGGAGTTGAAAGTCCGTGTTGCCCAGCGACAGCCCCAAAACATCACTGCTCTAGAGGAGATCTGCATGGAGGAATGGGCCAAAATACCAGCAACAGTGTGTGAAAACCTTGTGAAGACTTACAGAAAACGTTTGACCTGTGTCATTGCCAACAAAGGGTATATAACAAAGTATTGAGAAACTTTTGTTATTGACCAAATACTTATTTTCCACCATAATTTGCAAATAAATTCATAAAAAAATCCTACAATGTGATTTTCTGGATTTTTTTTCCCCTCATTTTGTCTGTCATAGTTGACGTGTACCTATGATGACAATTACAGGCCTCTCTCATATTTTTAAGTGGGAAAAAATTTGCACAATTGGTGGCTGACTACATACTTTTTTCCCCCCACTGTAGCTTCATTTCATCAGTCTGCTGTATCATTCAAGCTTAAAACCTTAACTTCTTTCAACTAAGTAATTTACTCTCCGATAACTCAAGTAAAATATAGTATTGCATGCCATTGTGAAATGTTTAATTCACATTGCCCTGTCATAAGACTGCTTAAGAGAACAAGCACACATAAACACCACAACTGCTAATGTTTTTTTAAAAAAAGCAGAGGCTGCGGATTCAACTTTTCTGTACCCCGTTTCTCAGAGGTGCAAATAGGCCTACCCATGAGAAATGTTTAAATACTTACCACTTCTTTCTGAATGGACCCTGTCCCATTTGTCACGAGTCAAGGTAAACACACTATTATTTGTAGTGGTAAGCCTGAACCCTCCAATATTTGCCTCATCTGACAAAACACATTTCAGTGTATCCTCGCTTATTTCGATTTCAACGTCTCCAGTTACATGCTGCTCATCTGATTCCGTTGTCATAGAGCTTACGATTTCCTCATCTGATAGACCTCTACCACAGCTTTCTGTCTCTAAGTGGTAGTGTTCATTCCCAATATGAACTCTTGGCTACATCAGGATGAGGATCAGAAGCAGATTCTTTATCCTCAAAAGTGTGTACATTTAGCATATTAAGTTGGCAGTCTGAGGGTCTTCTCTGAGCAGTTGACATTCCCTCATTTAAACTCTCTAGAGGCAATAGGTTTAGTACCTGATCCTCATTTACCTTCTCTGTTTGTACCATTTTGTTTAATTTAACCTTGTTGTCACAAGTAATAGAATGTATAAATGTGTCACAGTCCCCTTAGAGACTAAATCCATTTCTCCTCTCCACTGTCAGTTTAATTCGTGTTTTTGTATCAATTACTTTGTCTTTGACTGTGTTGCACTAACTTAAGTTTGTGCTGTCACCCACATCTCCTATCTCATTACATATGGGTGACGGGCTCAAAGGCTTGGTCAACTCAACCTGTTCCTCAGTCTTATTAACAAGACTGAATGTAACCTCTATTCTTGTCCCACATATTTCAAAGATTTTTGAAACTACGTTTAGTGACAATATAGGTTTTCCAATTGGCCATTGCAAAGTTTTGGCTACTTCCTCCTAAAATTGGAAACCACATTTTTCATTATGCTGCATAACGGAATGTATTGCCATTGAAATAGCATGATAATCCAAACATTTATTTAATTTCTTCCAAATTTTTTGTGATTCTTAACTTTCTGATCTTCCCCAACATCCCTGCCACTCTCATACAATTTATGTTTCAGATTTGGTGGTTCAACAGCATTATTTTAATTTATCATCTGTTGTGTCAAATTATTCTGATCTATGCATTTATCAGTACGGCCAACTCCACAGTTAACTCTATCACCACAGACAACAGCGTCACTATCAGTACAGTCAACTCCTACTATAGCACTAGGTCCAACCTCTACCAGTCCCTCCACAGATACATCTGATTTTTTTTTATAAATCAAAAATGTTTTTCGGAAGAAGCCTTTGACTCGCCTCCTGGAGTGTCACCGTACACAGCACAGACATTGGTTAGGCAGCACAAAAAAGTTTACATCAGCAAGAGCAGGGCAGGCCAGGGCTTATGATTGGGATATCCATCCAGTGTATAATGAAGTACAGCCTAGTTTTATTTACATCATCCCAGCAGTGCAAAACTTGGGAAGGAAGTTCATTTTCTTAGAAATATACCTTTTCCCTGTGCTTCTCCGAGCATGCACTTCACATAGCCTAGGCCTATTGCCTAGTATAGGCTATGGGTCATTTGATTGAGACCACACTAAAAATAGGCGCACTTGATATTGCGCACCCAGCAGAGAATCAGGGATAAGGGGCAGCACATACATCGGCATACATACATTTGACTTCGGCACCTAGATGAGTTTTCTCTGTAAGCCAATATGTAATTTATAGGCCTATTTGTATTGCATTGGGACCAATGGAGAGGGTGGAGTAGAACGTGTTGCTGGGCATATAGACCTCAGTCCACCATGGAATAACACCATACAGTGCATTCGGAAAGTATTCAGACCCCTTCCCCTTTTCCACATTTTGTTACGTTACAGCCTTATTCTAAAATTGATTAAATATTTTTTCCCCTCAATCTACACACAATACCCCATAATGACAATGTGAAAACAGGTTTTTAGAAACTTTTGCAAATGTACAAAAAATAAAAACAGAAATACCTTATTTACATAAGTATTCAGACCCTTTGCTATGAGACTCGAAATTGAGCTCAGGTTCATCCTGTTTCCATTGATCATCCTTGAGATGTTTCTACAACTTGATTGGAGTCCACCTGTGGTGAATTCAATTGATTGGACATGATTTGGAAAGGAACACACCTGTCTATATAAGGTCCCACAGTTGACAGTGCATGTCAGAGCAAAAACCAAGCCATGAGGTCGAAGGAATTGTCCATAGAGCTCTGAGACAGGATTTTGTCGAGGCACAGATCTGGGGAAGGGGACCAAAACATTTCTGCAGCATTGAAGGATCCAATAACACAGTGGCCTCCACCATTTTTAAATGGAAGAAGTTTGGAACCACCAAGACTCTTCCTAGAGCTGGCCGCCTGGCCAAACTGAGCAATCGGGGGAGAAGGGCCTTGGTCAGGGAGGTGACCAAGAACCCGATGGTCACTCTGACAGAGCTCCAGAGTTCCTCTGTGGAGATGGGAGAACTTCCCAGAAGGACAACCATCTCTGCAGCACTCCACCAATCAGTGGCCAGACGGAAGCAACTCCTCAGTAAAAGGCACATCAATCAATCAATCAAATGTATTTATAAAGCTCTTTTTACATCAGCAGATGTCACAAAGTGTTATACAGAAACCCAGCCTAAAACCCCAAACGGCAAGCAATGCAGATGTAGAAGCACATGACAGCCCGTTTGCAAAAGAGGCACCTAAAGGACTCTCAGACCATGAGAAACAAGATTCTCTGGCCTGATTAAACCAAGATTGAACTCTTTGGCCTGAATGCCAAGCGTCACTTCTGGAGGAAACCTGGCACCATCCCTACGGTGAAGCACAGTGGTGGCAGCATCATGCTGTGGGGATGTTTTTCAGCGGCAGGGACTGGGAGACTAGTCAGGATCAAGGGAAAGATGAACGGAGCAAAGTATAGAAAGATCCTTGATGAAAACCTGCTCCAGAGTGCTCAGGACCTCAGACTGAGGCGAAGGTTCACCTTCCAACAGGACAACGACCCTAAGCACACAGTCAAGACAATGCAGGAGTGGCTTCGGGACAAGTCTCTGAATGTCCTTGAGTGGCTCAGCCAGAGCCCGGACTTGAACCCGATCAAACATCTCTGGAGAGACCTGAAATAGCTGTGCAGTGACGCTCCCCATCCACCCTGACAGAGTTTGAGTGGATTTGCAGAGAAGAATGGGAGAAACTCCCCAAATACAGGGGTGCCAAGCTTGTAGCGTCATACCCAAGACTCAAGACTGCCAAAGGTGCTTCAACAAAGTACTGAGCAAATGGTCTGAATACTTATGTAAATGTGATATTTCTGTTTTTTATTTTTAATACATTTGCAAACATTTCTAAAATCTGTTTTTGCTGTGTCATTATGGAGTATTGTGTGTAGATTGATGAGGGGAAAAAACAATGTAATCCATTTTAGAATAAGGCTGTAAGGTAACAAAATGTGGAAAGGGTGAAGGGGTCTGAATACTTTGCGAATGCAGGCCCTACTGAGTACTCCCTACCCCACTTTTATATCGGCACAAATCATCGTTTTTCCTGTACAGTTCTATATTTGTACCATATAGTGTCCATGCACCCCATTTTAAGCTGTTTGACCACAGTAAAAGGCCAGCAACACTCCGTATTATTCAGAGCCCCATGAAATGACACCATATATACATTCTACAGACCCTACTAAGTATTCCCTAAAATACTTTTACTGCTGCACCCAGAATAGTTTTTGCTCTTTAACCCAATATGTATTCCATGTACAGTGATTCGCATTGTGGGCATTTATTTTGACATTGGAACATGTTTTAAAACCCAATTGTCACTTACATATGAACAAATATGCATCATTGTTAATGTTTTGACAATTATTTTTTATATATCATGAATAAATACAGGTTATTGACACTTTTGTACTATTACGTGGGGAGTTTTATTTTGAAACATCTCGACGTTTCGTGAGCCGGAAGTACATTTTTAGTGTTGCTGATGAGACGCTGATAGCCGTTCAGCAATTGGAAAAATGGCAGCGCACAGGTGCAATATTGTTGTGCTGGCGTTCGTTCTTTGTGGATTAACATATGTGTTTGTTACAGCAGACATACAAGACACAAATAATGTGAAAGATGATGAAAGCGGCGCCGTTGATAGTGCACCGAAGACGAATATAGGCGCGTCACTGCAATCAACTAAAACCGAGGACCAAACCCAGGCTACGGAAGAGGAGAGGCAATGGGAGGCTACCAAGGCCGAAACGAATCCAGCAGATGCTCCAAGCGACAACAAAGCTGACCATGTCCATGATACCATCCAAAACCCTGACAGTACTCCAACACCGCCTGCAAAAGACCAAACCCAAGAGGCAGCAGAAGAAGAGAGGCAATGGGAGGCTACCGAGGTCAAAGAAGCTGACCATGTCCCTGACACCATGCAAACCCCAGACGTCCCTCCACCAACGCCCGCAAAAGACCAGTTTCAGGAAGAGTTGGTGATCAGACCATTGCATTCTGGGGATATCTATGCCAGCTTCCAGTTCCGCACCCTGTGGGATACAGACTTCTTGCGTGGAAGTAAAGGTAGAGTTTGATTTAATATGCTGTTTGGGTCACATCATCTTCTATCCTCTATCTAGTAGTCACACAGGGACACCACCAGTCGTAAGTGCAAATCCAGCACAGGAGGTTGGTGGCATCTTAATTGGGGAGGATGGGCTCGTGGTAAGGTCAGGAGCAGAGTAAGTGGAATGGTATCAAATACATGGTTTCCATGTGTTTGATGCCATTCCATTTGCTCCGTTCCAGCCATTATTATGAGTCGTCCTCCCCTCAGCAGCCTCCACTGATCGTCATGGTCCTGTAGACCCACAGAGCAGGCTTTTGTTCCAGCCCAGCACTAAACATTTTATTCAACCAATCAAGGGCTTGATGAGTTGAATATTTGAACCAGGTGTGTTATTGCTGCTGGGCTATGTTGACTGTAGCAGTGCATTCATTGTCATCAGTACATGGGACCTAGGCCTAATTTGAATGAGTTATGTCCAGTGCACACTTTTGGGAGATTATAGGCCTAGATCTGGTACGTGCACACACCTAAACCCAAGGACGGATTTTACGAACTATGAATCAAGTCAACATATTAGTGTTCTATGAAACTCACTGTTTCCCCCCAAAATTTCATTTTCAGTCTCCCACTACCGACTCTTCCCAAAATCGCTGGGCCAGGTGATTTCAAAGTTCTCTGTGCGGGAGCTCCACATCTCCTTCACTCAGGGCTACTGGAGGACCATGCAGTGGGGCCAGCCCTTCCTACCATCGCCCCCTGGTGCTGAACTGTGGGTATGGTTCCAGGACACTGTCACTGAGTGAGTATATAATATACTGTATATTTATCTATACAAGTTCACTTTCCTTATTGTTGAAGATAATGGAGTAGCTTTAGATCTGTCGAATCATGCTTAGTCGGTTTTGGTCTCAACAAGAGCTGTATATATGAATACATATGTGTGGCTCTAGGGTTGTTCCATATGATTTTAAATACTTTTTGGCTCCACCCCTTTTGATTTGAACGAAATCGCCATACATGTTTGCCCATGGTAGAAGTTATCATAAAGTGACTTCAAATGGATATCAAACTCAACCATTTATATTTTTCAGTGACGAAGGCACGGTGGCTGTATCATGGTGGGGTATGCAAAATGGGTCAACTTTGAGCACCTCTATCTCCTTACTGTTTTGGCATTCAAGTCCAGAAAGGCCCTTTCTGACTACTTCTGCCATGGGTAAACGTGTATGGAAGGTTTCGTTCAAATCAAAAGGGCTGCAGTCAGAAAGTAATTGAAATCATATAGAACGACCCTGTAGTCTCACCCATTTTGTAAACTATGACCGCAGGTACCGCTGTCATCTGGTCCATTGAGTCTTAGACCATTAAGGTATCACAACATTTGACAGGCATGTCTTTCTTGTGACTGGTGGCAGATACTGCCATTTTACCCATTGTAATTTCTCCCAAACTATATCGGCATTAAAGTGATATAGTTGTCTATTAAAGTGAATGTCCACTGAAGTGAATGATCCAGTGCCTTCAAAAAGTTTATATAGTATATATTATATAAGTGTTGAATCACCTTTGGCAGCGATTACAGCTGTGATTCTTTCTGGTAAGTCTAAGAGCTTTGCACACTTGGATTGTACAATATTTGCCTATTTTATTATTTAAAAAATGTGTCAAGCTCTGTCAAGGTGGTTGTAGATCATTGCTAGACAATTCTTGCCATATACACTGCTAAAAAAAAATCAAGGGAACACTTAAACAACACATCCTAGATCTGAATGAATGAAATAATCTTATTAAATACTTTTTTCTTTACATAGTTGAATGTGCTGACAACAAAATCAAAAAATTATCAATGGAAATCAAATGTATCAACCCATGGAGGTCTGGATTTGGAGTCACCCTCAAAATTAAAGTGGAAAACCACACTACAGGCTGATCCAACTTTGATGTAATGTCCTTAAAACAAGTCAAAATGAGGCTCAGTAGTGTGTGTGGCCTCCACATGCCTGTATGACCTCCCTACAACGCCTGGGCATACTCCTGATGAGGAGTATACTCCTGATGCCAACTCCTGGACAGTCTGTGGTGCAACGTGGCGTTGGTGGATGGAGCGAGACATGATGTCTCAGATGTGCTCAATTGGATTCAGGTCTGGGGAACGGGCGGGCCAGTCCATAGCATCAATGCCTTCCTCTTGCAGGAACTGCTGACACACTCCAGCCACATGAGGTCTAGCATTGTCTTGCATTAGGAGGAACCCAGGGCCAACCGCACCAGCATATGGTCTCACAAGGGGTCTGAGGATCTCATCTCGGTACCTAATGGCAGTCAGGCTACCTCTGGCGAGCACATGGAGGGCTGTGCGGCCCCCCAAAGAAATGCCACCCCACACCATGACTGACCCACCGCCAAACCGGTCATGCTGGAGGATGTAGCAGGCAGCAGAACGTTCTCCATGGCGTCTCCAGACTCGGTCACGTCTGTCACATGTGCTCAGTGTGAACTTGCTTTCATCTGTGAAGAGCACAGAGTGCCAGTGGCGAATTTGCCAATCTTGGTGTTCTCTGGCAAATGCCAAACGTCCTGCACGGTGTTGGGCTGTAAGCACAACCCCCACCTGTGGACGTCGGGCCCTCATACCACCCTCATGGAGTCTGTTTCTGACCATTTGAGCAGACACATGCACATTTGTTGCCTGCTGGAGGTCATTTTGCAGGGCTCTGGCAGTGCTCCACCTGCTCCTCCTTGCACAAAGGCGGAGGTAGCGGTCCTGCTGCTGGGTTGTTGCCCTCCTACGGCCTCCTCCACGTCTCCTGATGTACTGGCCTGTCTCCTGGTAGCGCCTCCATGCTCTGGACACTACGCTGAACAGACACAGCAAACCTTCTTGCCACAGCTCGCATTGATGTGCCATCCTGGATGAGCTGCACTACCTGAGCCACTTGTGTGGGTTGTAGACTCAGTCTCATGCTACCACTAGAGTGAAAGCACCGCCAGCATTCAAAAGTGACCAAAACATCAGCCAGGAAGCATAGGAACTGAGAAGTGGTCTGTGGTCACCACCTGCAAAAGCAGTCCTTTATTGGGGGTGTCTTGCTAATTGCCTATAATTTCCACCTTTTGTCTATTCCATTTGCACAACAGCATGTGAAATTTATTGTCAATCAGTGTTGCTTCCTAAGTGGACAGTTTGATTTCACAGAAGTGTGATTGACTTGGAGTTACATTGTGGTGTTTAAGTGTTCCCTTAATTTTTTTGAGCAGTGTATTTTCAAGCTGTTTTTAAGTCAAAACTGTAACTCAGGAACATTCAATGTCAACTTGTTAAGCAACTCCAGTGTATATTTGGCCTTGTGTTTTAGGTTATTGTCCCTGCTGAAAGGTGAATTTGTCTCCCCAGTGTCTGTTGTAAAGCAGACTGAACCAGGTTTTCCTCTAGGATTTTGCCTGTACTTAGCTCTATTCTGTTTCTTTTTATCCTAAAAAAGCTGTCATGTGTTGTTGGATTTTCCCCAAACATACAGTTGAAGTCGGAAGTTTACATACACCTTAGCCAAATACATTTAAACTCAGTTTTTCACAATTCCTGACATTTAATCCTAGTAAAAATTCCCTGTCTTAGGTCAGTTAGGATCACCACTTTTATTTTAAGAATGTGAAATGTCAGAATAAGAGTAGAGTGATTTATTTCAGCTTTTATTTATTTCATCACATTCCCAGTGGGTCAGAAGTTTACATACACTCAATTAGTATTTTGGTAGCATTGCCTTTAAATTGTTTAACTTGGGTCAAACGTTTCGGGTAGCCTTCCACAAGCTTCCCACAATAAGTTGGGTGAATTTTGTCCCATTCCTCCTGACAGAGCTGGTTTAACTGAGTCAGGTTTGTAGGCCTCCTTGCTCGCACACGCCTTTTCAGTTCTGCCCACACATTTTCTATAGGATTGAGGTCAGAGCTTTGTGATGGCCACTCTAATACCTTGACTTTGTTGTGCTTAAGCCATTTTGCCACAACTTTGGAAGTATGCTTGGGGTCGTTGTCCATTTGGAAGACCCATTTGTGACCAAGCTTTAACTTCCTGACTGATGTCTTGAGATGTTGCTTCAATATATCGACATAATTTTCCTTCCACATGATTCCATCTATTTTGTGAAGTGCACCAGTCCCTCCTGCAGCAAAGCACCCCCCCAGCATGATGCTGCCACCCCCATGCTTCACGGTTGGGATGGTGTTCTTCGGCTTGCAAGCTCACCTTTTTCCTCCAAACATAACGATGGTCATTATGGCCAAACAGTTCTATTTTTGTTTCATCAGACCAGAGGACATTTCTCCAAAAAGTACGATCTTTGTCCCCATGTGCAGTTGCAAACCGTAGTCTGGCTTTTTTTATGGCGGTTTTGGAGCAGTGGCTTCGTCCTTGCTGAGCGGCCTTTCAGGTTATGTCAATATAGGACTAGTTTTACTGTGGATATAGATACTTTTGTACCTGTTTCTTCCAGCATCTTCACAAGGTCCTTTACTGTTGTTCTGGGATTGATTTGCACTTTTCGCACCAAAGTACGTTCATCTCTAGGAAACAGAACGCGTCTCCTTCCTAAGCGGTATGACGGCTGCGTGGTCCCATGGTGTTTATACTTGCGTACTATTGTTTGTACAGAGGATTGTGGTACCTTCAGGCATTTGGAAATTGCTCCCAAGGATGAACCAGACTTGTGGAGGTCTACAATTTTTTTTTCTGAGGTCTTGGCTGATATCTTTTGATTTTCCTATGATGTCAAGCAAAGATGCACTGAGTTTGAAGGTAGGCCTTGAAATACATCCACAGGTACATCTCCAATTGACTCAAATTATGTCAATTAGCCTATCAGAAGCTTCTGAAGCCATTACATCATTTTCTGGAATTTTCCAAGCTGTTTAAAGGCACAGTCAATTTAGTGTATGTAAACTTCTGACCTACTGGAATTGTGATACAGTGAATTATAAGTGAAATAATCTGTCTGTAAACAATTGTTGGAAAAATTACTTGTGTCATGCACAAAGTAGGTGTCCTAACCGACTTGCCAAAACTATAGTTTGTTAACAAGAAATTAGTGGAGTGGTTGAAAAACTATTTCTAATGACTCCAACCTAAGTGTATGTAAACTTACGAGTTCAACTGTAACACTTTGTATCCAGGACATAAAGTTAATTTCTTTGTCACATTTTTTGCAGTTTTACTTTAGTGCCTTATTGCAAACAGGATGCATGTTTTGGAATATTATTTATATACAAATTCCTTCTTTTCACTCTGTCATTTATGTTAGTATTGTGGACTAGGCCTAATTACAATGTTGTTGATCCATCCTCAGTTATCTCCTGCCACAGCCATTAAACTATGTAACTGTTTTAAAATCACCATTGGCGTCATGGTGAAATCCCTGAGCGGTTTCCTTCCTTTCCGGCAACTGATTTAGGAAGGGCGCCTGTATCTTTTGTAGTGACGGGGTGTATTGATACACCATTCAAAGTGTAATGAATAACTTCTCCATGCTCAAAGGGATATTCAATGTCTGTTTTATATTTTATTTTTACCCATCTACCAATAGGTGCCCTTCTTTGCGAACCATAGGAAAACCTCCCTGGTCTTTGTGGTTGAATCTGTGCTTCAAATTCACTGTTCAAGTTGGGGACCTTACAGATAATTGTATGTGTGGGGTACACAGATAGGATAGTGATTTTAAAAAATCATGTTAAACACTATTATTGCACACAGATTGAGTCCATGCAATTTATTACGTGAGGGGTTAAGCACATTTATAGTCCTGAACTTTAGGCTTGCCATAACAAAAGGGTTGAGTACTTATTGGCTCAAGACATTTCAGCTTTTAATTTGTAATTAATTTGTAAACATTTCTAAAAACACAATTCCACTTTGACATTATGGGGTATTGTATGTAGATCGGTGACACAATCTCAATTTAATCAATTTTAAATTCAGGCTGTAACACAACAAAATGTGGAAAAAGTCAAGAGGTGTGAATACTTTCTAAAGGCACTGTAACTGTACCCATCGTTCGGTCCTTTGTCTTGTAGTGTGGACAGTGCCTGGAAGGAGCTGACCAACGTTCTCTCTGGGATCTTCTGTGCCTCCCTGAATTTCATTGACTCCACCAACACGGTGCAGCCCAGTGCCTCATTCAAGCCTCTAGGCTTGGGCAACGGTAAGGCTCCTCACACTCAGCAGAATCTACAGTAGCTAGCCTACCTCTGAACTGAGAGCAGGGTCGTGTTCATACAGCACCAGAGTGAAACAGAGAGGTACCATCTGTAATTGTCCAATAATAAACACTTTTCTACTGTGTGACATAATGAATATGACCCAGTGCCAACTAATGCTTTGTTGTTATGTCAAACTGAAAAGACAATGCCATGAGTCTTTACAGCAGGGGTGTGCAATCCTATGGCTGGTATGGGGGGAGCTTTTGCTCGAGCCAAGCGGTAAAACACCTTATTCAACTACCTAACTAATCATATTCTTCAATGAAGTCTTTGAGTAGTAGGATCAGGTGTGCATCTTGGCTAGAATATAAGCCTGCAATCTTAACAGTCCTGGTGGGGTAAGATTCCCACTCCTGAACAGAGAGCAGTGCTTTAGAACAGCCACATTTCTGTCATATGTACTCAAAAGGAATCCCAAAGAAGTTGGATAGTTAACGATGTGAAACACTACGGTACTGATGTGTGATTCTCCATAATACTATGTTTTATGTCTGGTTGTGATGTCTCGTCTGTTGATGTTGTCGTCTCATGTACCTTGTATGTGTCCTCTAATCAGTGACAGACCAGCGCTTCCTCCGCTATGCTGTGTTGCCGCGGGAGATCGTCTGTACTGAGAACCTGACTCCGTGGAAGAAACTCCTTCCCTGCGGCTCCAAGGTACCTGTCTGTCTTACGTTTGATGCTCTTGTCACATCTAGCAAAGGCTTTAGACTTTAGTGCAATAAATCTGAAATCTGCCACTACAACTATGTGTACAAAGGCTTCTTTCTTCTTCTTCTTCTTCTTCTTCTTCTTGGCTTTGGGTGGTTAATTTTGTCCTTTTATTGTAGTTGACTTGTGAGTGTGTCATGTGACATGATTAACCATGTCGTGCATGTTGCCCGTCTCCTTCCACTAGGCTGGTCTGGCAGTCCTGATGAAGTCTGAGAAACTCTTCCACAGCAGCTTCCACTCCCAGGCTTTACACTTCAGACCTGTGTGTCAGGTAATACAGTCTGTAGTGTACCTATATCTATTAAATGTATTACTATACTAAACTATTATAGCTACATAGGTATGAGGAATACTACCACCTGCTGTTCAAATGGGGTCAGCCATATCAAAGCTATTTTGCGGGTTTGGGATTTCAGAGTAATGATATTTAGCCCAAGTTGTGCAGTTCTGCCACTTGAATTGTGCTTATTTGAAAATGACATCATTATTGCTTTATACTGAACAAAAATATAATCACAACATGCAACAATTTCAAGGATTTTACTCATATAAGGAAATCAGTAAATTTAAATAAATGGACACTTGAAACCCCACCTCTTTAAGGAATACCTGGGATAGGATAAAGTAATCCTTCTACCCCCCCCTTACCCCCACCCCCCCCCCCCAAAAAAAAATAACATATTGTAAAGTGGTTATCCCACTGGCTATAAGGTGAATGCACCAATTTGTAAGTCGCTCTGGATAAGAGCGTCTGCTAAATGACGTAAATGTAAATGTAATTAGCCTCTAATCTATGGATTCCACATGACTGGGAATACAGATATGCATCTGTTGGTCACAGATACCTTTAAAAAAAAGGTAGGGACGTGGATCAGAAAACCAGTCAATATCTGGTCTGACCACCATTTGCCTCATGCAGCGCGACACATCTCCTTCGCATAGACTTGATCAGGCTGTTGATTGTGGCCTGTGGAATGTTGTCCCACTCCTCTTCAATGGCTGTGCTAAGTTGCTGGAAATTGGCAGGAACTGCAACAAGCTGTCATACACGTTCATCCAGAGCATCCAAAACATGCTCAATGGGTGACATGTCTGGTGAGTATGCAGGCCATGGAAGAACTGGGACATTTTCAGCTTCCAGGAATTGTGTACAGATCCTTGCGACATGGGGCCGTGCATTATCATCCTGAAACATGAGGTGATTGTGGTGGATGAATGGCACGACAATGGGCCTCAAGATCTCGTCATGGTATCTCTGTGCATTCAAATTGCCATCAATAAAATGCGCACTGACAGTGCAAATGCGCACTATATATACAGTGCATTTTGAAAGTATTCAGACCCCTTGACTTTTTCCACATTTTGTTACGTTACAGCCTTATTCTAAAATGTATTAAATTGTTTTTTCCCCTCATCAGTCTACACACAATACCCCATAATGACAACGCGAAAACAGGTTTTTAGACATTTTTGCAAAGACACACACCTGTCTATATAAGGTCCCACAGTTGACAGTGCATGTCATAGCAAAAACCAAGCCATGAGGTTGAAGGAATTGTCCGTAAAGCTCTGAGACAGGATTGTGTCGAGGTACAGATCTGGTTAAGGGTACCAAAAAATGTCTGCAGCATTGAAGGTCCCCAAGAACACAGTGGCCTCCATCATTCTTAAATGGAAGAAGTTTGGAACCACCAAGACTCTTCCTAGAGCTGGCCGCCTGGCCAAACTGAGCAATCGGGGGAGAAGGGCCTTTGTCAGGGAGGTGACCAAGAACCTCCAGAGTTCCTCTGTGGAGATGGGAGAACCTTCCAGAAGGACAATCATCTCTGCAACAGTCCACCAATCAGGCCTTTATGGTAGAGTGGCCAGACGGAAGCCACTCCTCAGTAAAAAGGCACATGACAGCCCGCTTGGAGTTCGCCAAAAGGCACCTAAAGGACTCCCAGTCCATGAGAAACAAAGATTCTCTGGTCTGATGAAACCAAGATTGAACTCTTTGGCCTGAATGCCAAGTGTCACGTCTGGAGGAAACCTGGTTCCATCCCAACGGTGAAGCATGGTGGTGGCAGCATCATGCTTTGTGGATGTTTTTCAGCAGAAGGGACTGGGAGAATAGTCAGGATCAAGGGAAAGATGAACGGAGCAAAGTACAGAGATCCTTTAAAAAAACCTGCTCAAGACCTCAGACTGGGGCGAAGGTTCACCTTCCAACAGGACAACGACCCTAAGTACCCAGCCAAGACAACGCAGGAGTGGCTTCGGGTCAAGTCTCTGAATGTCCTTGAGTGGCCCAGCCATAGCCCGGACTTGAACCCAATCGAACATCTCTGGAGAGACCTGAAAATAGCTGAGCAGCGACGCTCCCCACCCAACCTAACAGAGCTTGAGAGGCTCTGCAGAGAAGAATGAGAGAAACTCCCCAAATACAGGTTTGCCAAGCTTGTAGCGTCATACCCAAGAAGACACAAGGCTGTAATCACTGTCAAAGGTGCTTCAACAAAGTACTGAGTAAAGGGTCTGAATACTTATGTAAATGTGATATTTCCGTTTTTTATTTTTAGTACATTTGCAAACATTTCTAAAAACCTGTTTTTGCTTTGTTATTATGGGGTATTGTGTGTAGATTGTTGAGGGAGAAAAAACAATTTTAATCAATTTTAGAATAAGGCTGTAATGTAATAAAATGTGGAAAAGGTAAAGGGGTCTGAATACATTCCGAATGCACTGTATTTATAACATTATTGGTTGCAAGAATTTTGTATAATTTGAATAGAAAAACGTTGAATCCAGTGTCGTTTTGTGTATCAGTTCATAAACGATGTGCCATTGAATCAGTACATCAAAAATCTCTTCCCATCTATTTTGAAATCTATATGGCACAACTGTCAATTTTTTGGTCCTTAAATGAAACTGATATACTTTTTTATTTATCACACATTTCTTTAACCAATTTTGGTCTTTAATTCAGTGCCGACAGATAAGGTCCTTACTTTCTCCCCCTTCCACTTGCCTCCACCAGTCCTATTTATGATATCATTTACAAAGATTATACCGTTTTTAAACATTGTTTTCCAAAACATATTGTTTAAAAAAAATCAATTAGTACATTTGAGTTTAACCATTTTATATTTGTTGCAATATTTGTTCTGTCTGTTCTGGTGGATTAAACTGAAATTGCAACCAACTTTCTATGGCTTGTTTTAAAAATAGTGATATTTTGGAGATGATTTTAATTTTCAAATAACCGAAAGTGAGATGTTGTAATCTGAGGTGAGACATTCTTACTAATCTGCTAGAGAACCAGTTCTGATTTAAGGATCACTTTTGTGTGACTGAAGCCTTTAGTGAGAGGTCTAATGCTTTAATATTGATTCATTATATAAATAGGCCCGTTTAATTTTGTCTGGTAATTGTAGTGAGATCATTACTTTCTTTTGGGTTATGAAATAAGCTTTTGTGCGTATGGAAAATGTCTGGGATCTTTATTTCAGCTCATGAAACATTGGACCAACACATGTTGCGTTTATATTTTTGTTCAGTGTAGTTGGTCGTAGTCATTTTTGAATGTAAGAGTGTAGGAATAGAGAATCTTTGTTCATTGTCTCACTGTCTTCATTGTCTCAAAAACGAAATCACTGGTTTCTCCTTCTGTCCTACATCATTCCATCCTATCCGAATCCCATTTGATAGCCTGTCACTGTTGATGAGCCCCAGCCTTGATATGACACTCTACTGTTGTTTCAGGACTGGAAGTGCAAATCCACAGTGTGGGAGCTGAGACAGACACTGAACGTGGTGTTCGACCTTCACACCTCTGGCCAGGGCAAACGAGGTGAAACACCTCTCCACATTCAGTATTGCACCCCTTTCACACACCTAAGCTGAGCCGATTTGTATTGCACTGGCCTGTTTATGCATCCACCATATAGTTGCTGGAAACATAAAGAAAAAGAACAGAGCCAGCACAATACGGTTCAGGTCGGCATGATAGTGTGAAAAGGGTGCAAGTAATTTCGCCTCACTATTGCTAAAACACTAGGCTTGAACGGTATACCATATATACTGTATACTGGGGTATTTGGAAAAAAACACAGGATGGTTTTTCAATACTGTCAACTATTTATTTGAAGTTTTTCAATAAATGTGAATATTTGTAACTACTTTTTAAGTAAATACCTGCAGTCGACTTGTGCAATAAATTAGGAGATAAAGCAGATTGCGTTCTTAATTTCACCTGTCACATTATTTCACATTATGAAGCTTACCGGTAGCTCGTGAGTCCAGCTGTGTATTTGGTTTAACTTGCTAGTGGCTGAATTAATAATGAGATTGGGCATCATATAGTGTTAGCTTTCTGCCGTGTTTGAGAAGTCAAAGCGCTTTGGATGAGTTATCTGTACTGCTGCTACTGCTTTTATCTTGATTTCCTTGTGTTGATTGCCCCCTCTTCTCTGAGCAGAGCAGGCAGGCCCGTAGCTCCAGAGCCAGTACTATTCTTCCTTCAGACAAGCATGCGTCAAAACTTTGTTATTTTGCACAATGTCTCTCGTTCACATTTGCTTGTAAATGTCCAAACTCACCAAACATGACATTCGGTAGCTCCTACCTACACTTGTATAAACGTTCTGAGCTGGATTGCCTGTCTTTGCAATTTAGTTTATTTTCAAATGTTGTTAGCATTCTGGTAATGGTCGCCCCCTGTGGGCTTAAAAAAATGTTTTGCGCCCCTTGTGTACTAAGACGGTAATACCGTAAATCCCGGCATAAGAGAAGGACAGTATGATGATATAAAAATCTGGATACCGCCCAACCCTAGTAGGTGTATTTGCCTGCTAGCTGGTTGTTACAAAGCAAAAAAGGCATGTTTTTCAAATAAAATAAAACTTTATTTAAAGTGCATTTTAAAGTTGCAACACACATTACAGTAAAACAATAAAATGAACGAAATAAAGAACAAACAACTTTTCATATAAAAGTTGTTTATGTCTAATGCGGTGTACAGACATTGACCTTTCTGTGCTCCTTAAAAAGACGGTTCACTACCTTTTTAAATACAAAAAGGGGCCAAGATGAATGCGATGCTATGTATATGATGTTATGATGGTGATGTTGGTTATTGGGTGTTTCGTCAGAGTGGTCCCTGTTCAAGATGTTCTCTCGCACCCTGACTGAAGCCTGCCCGCTGGCCTCCTCCAGTAAAGTATACGTGGACGTCACAGACAACCCTCAGGTCAGCAACTTTACATTACTGACTTTACATGACTGCTAACTTTACCCAACTCCACATTCTATTTAGTTAGCAGACAATCTTACTCTTGAGTGCATACACATTATTGTTCATTCATTGATTTGTGAATCAATGTTTGTCTGTATTTGTATATGCATGCTTGCGCACATGTGTGTGATTTGTTAACTCTAAAACATCAGAAAACACTATGGAGAAGTGTCATTCTATGGTAATTATGCAGGCAAGTGTTGTTGTTATTGTGTTTCCCCTACAGGGAGAGCTGTTTGAGCTTAGCCCAACCACTCCCCTGCTCAGCCAGGCTGTGGTGCTTGGGGACCGGAGGACCTACTCGGTCTACGACCTCACTAACCAGGCCACGTTCGGACAGACGCGCTCCCTCAACATGCTGCTGCGCTGGAGAGCAGCCGAGAGTGGTGAGTGACATGTAAAGAACACAACACGTGGGCTGCATTTAATTCCAGAAAATATGTTTGTTCCGTCGACTGTCTGTTCACTTCCCTTCACAGATTGGTTGTTGCTGTTACACAAGTGGAATAAGGAACAATCCCTATTCGTCTTGTATAATTACAAACACTGCTCAACCCCATTACTATGCAATTATTATGCAGTTCCTAAAGTACTAAGAAACGGCATGTTAATACAATGTTACTAGTGTCATTTGCAGTTACTGCTAGGGTTGTTGCGGTGACCGTATTACCACCACACCGGCGGTCACGAGTGAGTCATGAAGGCAGTCAAATTCCACGTGACTGTTTAGTCACGGTAACTAGTCTTCTCCAAGCTCTGATGCTGCTGATGGTCATTAGTAGCCTACCAAACTTGCTAACTGCCTGGTACTCAGCACTCTATTGTCCCTCTAATCACTCTGACATCAATGCAAATGTTTTCGAAAATATAATCAAACACTTAATGAGAGCCCATGAGCTCATGTTGCGCAACATTTCTATAGGCTATGCAATTGCACGAGAAAACAGAGTGATGGCCTCTACTAAAAAGAGGAGGATCCCATCAGCTTTCTATAGGCTAGGCCTACTATATTTATTTCTCAACTTTCCTAATATTAAGCACATTGCTGGCATGAAAATGAACCACGGGAAAAGCGTCCTCCATTCACTATTTTAAGTGCCCCTGTTTTGAGACAGGTGCATGATAATGGTCCATTCTAAATCAAAAGAAATGTCACACATACAGTGGGGAGAACAAGTATTTGATACACTGCCGATTTTGCAGGTTTTTCTACTTACAAAGCATTTAGAGGTCTGTAATTTTTATCATAGGTACACTTCAACTGTGTGAGACGGAATCTAAAACAAAGATCCAGAAAATCACATTGTATGATTTTTAAGTAATTAATTTGCATTTTATTGCATGACATAAGTATTTGATCACCTACCAACCAGTAAGAATTCCGGCTCTCACAGACCTGTTAGTTTTTCTTTAAGAAGCCCTCCTGTTCTCCACTCATTACCTGTATTAACTGCACCTGTTTGAACTCGTTACCTGTATAAAAGACACCTGTCCACACACTCAATCAAACAGAATCCAACCTCTCCACAATGGCCAAGACCAGAGAGCTGTGTAAGGACATCAGGGATTAAATTGTAGACCTGCACAAGGCTGGGATGGGCTACAGGACAATAGGCAAGCAGCTTGGTGAGAAGGCAACAACTGTTGGCGCAATTATTAGAAAATGGAAGAAGTTCAAGATGACGGTCAATCACCCTCGGTCTGGGGCTCCATGCAAGATCTCACCTCGTGGGGCATCAATGATCATGAGGAAGGTTGAGGGATCAGCCCAGAACTACACGGCAGGACCTGGTCAATGACCTGAAGAGAGCTGGGACCACAGTCTCAAAGAAAACCATTAGTAACACACTACGCCGTCATGGATTAAAATCCTGCAGCGCACGCAAGGTCCCCCTGCTCAAGCCAGCGCATGTCCAGGCCCGTCTGAAGTTTGCCAATGACCATCTGGATGATCCAGAGGAGGAATGGGAGAAGGTCATGTGGTCTGATGAGACAAAAATAGAGCTTTTTGGTCTAAACTCCACTCTCCATGTTTGGAGGAAGAAGAAGGATGAGTACAACCCCAAGAACACCATCCCAACCGTGAAGCATGGAGGTGGAAACATCATTCTTTGGGGATGCTTTTCTGCAAAGGGGACAGGACGACTGCACCGTATTGAGGGGAGGATGGATGGGGCCATGTATCGCGAGATCTTGGCCAACAACCTCCTTCCTTCAGTAAGAGCATTGAAGATGGGTCGTGGCTGGGTCTTCCAGCATGACAACGACCCGAAACACACAGCCAGGGCAACTAAGGAGTGGCTCCGTAAGAAGCATCTCAAGGTCCTGGAGTGGCCTAGCCAGTCTCCAGACTTGAACCCAATAGAAAATCTTTGGAGGGAGCTGAAAGTCCGTATTGCCCAGCGACAGCCTCGAAACCTGAAGGATCTGGAGAAGGTCTGTATGGAGGAGTGGGCCAAAATCCCTGCTGCAGTGTGTGCAAACCTGGTCAAGACCTACAGGTTTTGTACCAAATATTAAGTTCTGCTTTTCTGATGTATCAAATACTTATGTCATGCAATAAAATGCAAATTAATTACTTAAAAATCATACAATGTGATTTTCTGGATTTTTGTTTTAGATTCCGTCTCTCACAGTTGAAGTGTACTTATGATAAAAATTACAGACCTCTACATGCTTTGTAAGTAGGAAAACCTGCAAAATCATCGGCACTGTATCAAATACTTGTTCTCCCTACTGTATATTATTTAGTATATGTAAAGACAAGATTGAATCAAGAATAGTCTGATGGGTGACAATATTAGCCTATCACTTGGGAATGATATATTATCACTTGTGAATGATGCCCAGCATAAGAAACAATGCCTTTTTTTGTGAATTTTTCGAATCATAGTCGCAAACCTCATGTAGCCTAGCCCATAGGCCTATATGTTTTAATAAGGTTTGTATCATAACTAAAGTGGCCAAATAACTTCTTAAAATTAAGCACATTAATCCGCTTTACAAGGGGTGTAGAGCCTAACTGGCATACATAAGTGGCGCGTGAGTTTCAAGTTTGAAGATAATTTTCACCATAAAAATGCACCTTTATAATAAAAGCATTACATGCATAATCGCAATGGGAAATGTTCGCTTAAAGCCTTCTGCTGTGTGCATTGCTGCGCTTATAATGTGAAGAAATAGCCTAATAGTTTATCAACATTTTAAGTCTCATTACGTAAAAAAGTTTTTTATGCTTGTGGTTGTATTAATTTGGGATCTATCGCATCCCACAACTGTCCCAGACTATGATTGGAATATTTATTTATCTCAGAATAGAATAGGTCAACTTTTGTACTATTGGGGATAGTAGATTGACATAGGCTAGTGCTTTTGCTGTTTGTTAGGCCTACTCATCTGGTTGGCTGACGAAAAGTAAATGTGGACAGTTCTTCCAATATCTTCAATATGCACCGCGGAATTTGATAATTATGCACGCAGTTGTGTCCCCGATGTGTCTGTCTTCACTTGTAGCCTGTGAGAAAGACCTGATCACCTGATGAGAGCGGTGTGAGCGAGATGAGAGATGCTTCGGAGTGGGCAGCATTTAGGAAGAAGAGCTGCAAAAGGCATGGATTTTTTTAGGGTGCATTATGGCCACACAAAGGGGTTACCACTGGGAAATTGGAGGCATTATCAAGTGCTTCTCAAATTGTGATTGAGAGACTGACAAAGTGTGTACAGCCAGCGCAAAAAAACTAAGCAGAGCTCATGCCTTTCAAGCGACTTTTTTCAAATCATCTTTGGAGTTGCATCATGCAGCCTTGCAATGTATTAAAAATCAAAACATATAGCCCAACGTTTGTAGAACAACTAAAGTTACATTAACTCTAAATTAAGCATATAAGAGTACCTATTTCTTTGTTAACAGCTCAACACAGAATAGCCGCATGTGCGCGCTCCCACAAATCGTTTGGAGAAAATATCCTTTCTATTTTATTCAGCTTTGTTCAATTGTATTCTTCATACTATAAATAATATAAAATAATGCCACAGAATTCTAAGCAAATCTTGTCTGCTGAATTAACTAGTGTAGCCCACAGCCATGTGGCATAGCCAGATCAGGACCTAACTCAGAGTATGCTATTCTGTTCTTCTGAAATAGACTACATTTTCTTCCTATCATGCTTCTTTAGACCTGTCTAAAATAATTTGTGAAGGTGTAGGCTATATTACATGGATTTATTTGACTTTTTGAAATGTAGATGTTCCAAAGGTCAGCATCAGTGGCTTGTAGGCTATGTGTGGAAGCCAGGAGATGCTAAATGTGTTTATGTTAAGTAAAGGTAAATTACCTTGAGACCGACCAGTTATTTGCTTGACAATCACCGGCTGACGAAATTTCGTGACCGCAACAGCCCTAGTTACTACACAGTAAGATCAGGTAATGTAAGTGTTACCGAAAAAAGGGAAAACATTTGTGATATGAATGAATTTCCATGTAGGGCATATAAAATGGTGTCTGTGTAAAATTGACCATAGAAATTATATTTCTATTCTAGTTATTCTAATTCTATGATTGACCATATGAATGCTCCCTCCTTCCCTGTCCCCAGGAGACATGCTGCGTCCCCTACTGCATGGAGAGCGCTACGTGGCCGGCTACGGGCTGCAGACGGGAGAGATCCACACCCTGATGTACAACAACCATCCGTACCGGGCCTTCCCTGTCCTCCTACTAGAGACTGTGCCCTGGTACCTGCGCCTCTACATCCACACGCTCACCGTCACCAGCAAGGGGCGTGACAACAAACCCAGTGAGTTGTTCAGTGCTGCTGCTCACCTGCTGACACTGTTCCACCTAGGCCTGATATGAATGTCAGCTACCTATTGATAGCTGTTGAGGGAAAGGTCATTTCTTCCCACATGGGGGAGCACATGCTTCTGTATCATAAAGCCTCATGCAGCCACTGAATGTGCCTGATATAAAATGTAATATTGTGAAGAGAACTTGAAAGAGGCTTCATACAGTGCCTTCCGAAAGTATTCATAACCCTTGACTTATTCCACATGTTGTTATGTTACAGCTTATTCTAAAATGGATTAAATAAATAAAAATCCTCAGCAATCTTCACACAATACTGCATAATGACAAAGCGAAAACAGATTTTTAGAAATTTAGCTAATTTATCAAATAAAAAAATCTGACCCTTTGCTATGAGACTCAAAATTGAGCTCAGGTGCATCCTGTTTCCATTGATCATCCTTGAGATGTTTCTACAACTTGATTGGAGTCCACCTGTGGTAAATTAAATTGATTGGACATGATTTGGAAAGGCACACACCTGTCTATATAAGGTCCCACAGTTGACAGTGCATGTCAGAGCAAAAACCAAGCCATGAGATCGAAGTAATTGTCCGTAGAGCTCCAAAAAGGATTGTGTCGAGGCACAGATGTAGGGAAGGGTACCATAAAATGTCTACAGCATTGAAGGTCCCCAAGAACACAGTGGCCTCCATAATTCTTAAATGGAAGAAGTTTGGAACCACCAAGACTCTTCCTAGAGCTGGCCACCCGGGGCAAACTGAGAAATCGTGGGAGAAGGTCCTTGGTCAGGGAGGTGACCAACAACCCAATTGTCACTCTGACAGAGCTCTAGAGTTGCTCTGTGGAGATGGGAGAACCTTCCAGAAGGACAACCATCTCTGCAGCACTCCACCAATCAGGCCTTTATGGTAGCGTGGCCAGACGGAGGCCACTCCTCAGTAAAAGGCACATGACAGCCCGCTTGGAGTTTGCCAAAAGGCACCTAAAGATTATCTGGTCTGATGAGACCAAACTTCACGTCTAGAGGAAACCTAGTACCATCCTTACGGTGAAGCATGGTGGTGGCAGCATCATGCTGTGGGGATGTTTTTCAGCGGCAGGGATTGGGAGACTAGTCAGGATCGAGGGAAAGATGAACGGAGCAAAGTACAGAGAGATCCTTGATCAAAACCTGCTCCAGAGCACTCAAGACCTCAGACTGGGGTGAATGTTCACCTTCCAACATGACAATGACCCTAAGCACACAGCTAAGACAACGCAAGAGTGGCTTTGTGACAACTCTCTGAATGTCCTTGAGTGGCCCAGCCAGAGCCCGGACTTGAACCTGATCGAACATGTCTGGAGAGACCTGAAAATAGCTGTGCAGCGACATTCCCCATCCAACCTGATAGAGCTTGTGAGAATCTGCAGAGAAGAATGGGGAAAAACTCACCAAATACAGCTGTGCCAAGCTTGTAGCGTCATACCCAAGAAGATTCGAGGCTGTAATCGCTGCCAAAGGTGCTTCAACAAAGAACTGAGTAAAGGGTCTGAATACTTATGTAAATGTGATATATTTTTGTATTTTTTGAATATGTACAAATTCCAAAAACCTGTTTTCGCTTTGTCATTATGAGGTATTTTGTGTAGATTGATGACGAAAAAGAAATAATGTAATGAATTTTTAGAATATGGCTGTAACGTAACACAATGTGGAAAAAGTCAAGCGGTCTGAATACTTTCCGAATGCACTGTAGTTTCATTCAATCAATGAATAAATCAAAGTTCAATGTTGGTGTTGTTTTCCCCTTCATGGTATGAGGAGTGATAGCTCATAAACTGAAGAGAACTTCAATGAGAAGATTGATTGGCTTCTTTCTCTCGTTGGATATGTTTCACACCTTTCCAATTCAGACTCAAAATGGGGACTTCATTATCATAATGTGGGATGTGATGGGTATATGGTCTTCTCTATACGCAAAAGAAAATTGTAATGGAATACAGGAAACAAAAATCTCAACCTACAGCGGTCAAATGATTTGGCTAAATAGAAGCAAGCACCAAAAGCTTGTGAAAGCTTAATTACAATATTATTGGGAATATGTCCATGATAAAAACAAAGAGAATGGAATGTAATTGGATAAATTACAGAAAAGTTAGTTGAGAATGATGCAGCGTGTGGATCGCTATTTCTAAAATCAATATGGACAGCGCCCGGTGCTTGAAGTTGAATAGGCAAATTGACTAACAAGGGGGCTTTGTTGGAGCACTATTTAAGAAAGAAGAGGTAGGCTTACCGATTTGACAGACGCAATTATGTTACCCATATATTTGTCGGTAGGCCTATAGCTATTTCCTCCTTTCTGCGTCGACTCGGACCTCATGTCTGGGGTGGAAAATCTACTTCTGAAAGTACCATGCTGATATTCATAATGACATCTCAGATTGAATTATTTGCAAACAGTGACAGTTTAGTTCCAAACAAGACACACTAGTTTGTCATTGGAGAAACACTGTACAATTAATATATTTTAATAGAGTAGGTAGGCCTATTAACATAATTATTGGTGATTTTACCACTGTAATCAGATCGACAGTTTTATATTGTCATTGAATTGATTAGTCCACTAACTACGTGTTAAATGTGTAGTGTAACTTATTGTGTAGGGCTATGAATTGGGCAGCTAGTAGGCTATTTGCTAATAGGCTAATTATGTTCAGCCCACTGACTAGTTACAAGCTCAGGAACAAATTGGCTGGAGGCCAAACCTAGTTGCCAACCCCCGTATATTGTAAATTCAATCACCACCATCATCATCATCATCATCATTCAGATCATTCAAACGTGTGGATATAGGCCTAGTACTAAACTTGAAGAACTCGTGGTTGTCTCTGTGAAATTATGTAGTTGCTCACCAGTGCGTTCTTGAAGAGGAAACTAGGTTACAATGTAGCCTAACAATATCGCTCGCAAACGGCACAGATGTGCGATTTTTATTGCTATATAGCACTGGTCCTCTTACATTTTAATTCCAGTTTGCATATCACAGTATTTAAGCGCATATCGGATGGTCTGCTCTGCCCATAAGTCACACCAAGCATAGGGTCCCTATAAGTTTGAAATTTAAAAAAATTGTCCTATTGAAAAAACGGACATAGCTCTCCAATTCCGTCTGATGTGTATATATATAATGTATTACATGAATTTAAATAATGTTTTAATGCCATCTTTTCACCCTGCTCCGTGTAGTCAATGTATTCCATTTAAAATGTGGCTCCCAGTGCGGCTAGTTCCGGGGCTATTATGACGTATCTGACAGTTCCTTCTCTGTATGTTCCTAGGGCAAGTGCAGGGGTGTTGCCTAGCAACACATGCCTCAGCGGGAGACAAGGTCTGCATATTCCCATGATTTGTGAATCTATTCGGACAGAACAGCTAGCGCGACAGCTAAATTGGCTTTGAAAAAATATGATTTCAGCTAATAGGGAGAAGTAGCTAACAAAATAACTACAGTGGCTTGCGAAAGTATTCACCCCCTTGGCATTTTTCTTATTTTGTTGCCTTACAACCTGGAATTAAAATTGATTTTTTGGGGGTTTGTATCATTTGATTTACACAACATGCCTACCACTTTGAAGATGCAAAATATTTTTTCTTGTGAAACAAACAAGAAATAAGACAAAAAAAACAGAACTTCAGCATGCATAACTATTCACCCCCCCAAAGCCAATACTTTGTAGAGCCACCTTTTGCAGAAATTACAGCTGCAAGTCTCTTGGGGTATGTCTCTATAAGCTTGGCACATCTAGCCACTGGGATTTTTGCCCATTCTTCAAGGCAAAAACTGCTCCAGATCCTTCAAGTTGGATGGGTTCCGCCGGTGTACAGCAATCTTTAAGTCATACCACAGAGGTCTGGGCTTAGACTAGGCCATTCCAAGACATTTAAATGTTTCCCCTTAAACCACTCGAGTGTTGCTTTAGCAGTATGCTTACGGTCATTGTCCTGCTGGAAGGTGAACCTCCGTCCCAGTCTCAAATCTCTGGAAGACAGAAACCGGTTTCCCTCAAGAATTTCCCTATATTTAGCGCCATCCATCATTCCTTCAATTCTGACCAGTTTCCCAGTCCCTGCCGATGAAAAACATCCCCACAGCATGATGCTGCCACCACCATGCTTCACTGTGGGGATGGTGTTCTCAGGGTGATGAGAGGTGTTGGGTTTGCCACAGACATAAACTCAGCAAAAAAATAAACATTCTCTCACTGTCAACTGCATTTATTTCAGCAAACTTAACATGTGTAAATATATGTATGAACATAACAAGATTCAACAACTGAGACATAAACTAAACAAGTTCCACAGACATGTGACTAACAGAAATTGAATAATGTGTACCAGAACAAAGGGGGGGTCAAAATCAAAAGTAACAGTCAGTATCTGGTGTGGCCACCAGCTGCATTAAGGACTGCAGTGCATTTCCGCATGTACCGCACCAGATTTGCCAGTTCTTGCTGTGAGATGTTACCCCACTCTTCCACCAAGGCACCTGCAAGTTCCCGGACATTTCTGGGAGGAATGGCCCTAGCCCTCACCCTCCGATCCAACAGGTCCCAAACGTGCTCAATGGGTTTGAGATCTGGGCTCTTCGCTGGCCATGGCAGAACACTGACATTCCTGTCTTGCCATTTGGCTAACACCAAACGTGTTTGCTTATTTTTTTCTTTAAGCAATGGCTTTTTTCTGGCCACTTCCGTAAAGCCCAGCTCTGTGGAGTGTACGGCTTGAAGTGGTCCTATGAACAGATACTCCAATCTCCGCTGTGGAGCTTTGCACCTTCAGGGTTATCTTTGGTCTCTTTGTTGCCTCTCTGATTAATGCCCTCCTTGCCTGGTCCGTGAGTTTTGGTGGGCGGCCCTCTCTTGGCAGGTTTGTTGTGGTGCCATATTCTTTCCATTTTTTTTATAATGGATATAATGGTGCTCTGTGGGATGTTCAAAGTTTCAGATATTTTTTTATAACCCAACCCTGATCTGTACTTCTCCACAACTTTGTCCCTGACCTGTTTGGAGAGCTCCTTGGTCGTCATGGTGCTGCTTGCTTGGTGGTGCCCCTTGCTTAGTGGTGTTGCAGACTCTGGGGCCTTTCAGAACAGGTGTATATATACTGAGGTCATGTGACAGATCATGTGACACTTAGATTGCACACAGGTGGACTTTCTTTAACTAATTATGTGACTTCTGAAGGTAATCGGTTGCACCAGATCTTATTTAGGGGCTTCATAGCAAAGGGGGTGAATACATATGCACGCACCTCTTTTCCGTTATATTTTTTTTTTCATTTCACTTCACCAATTTGGACTATTTTGTGTATGTCCATTACATGAAATCCAAATAAAAATCCATTTAAATTACAGGTTGTAATGCAACAAAATAGGACAAATGCCAAGGGGGATGAATTCGTTAGCAAGGCACTGTACATTATGGCATTCACTAATCATCTCTATTTACTTAAAATTAATGTGGGTACAATTGTGGACAAAATTCTTACTTACCTAACGTTTAAGTTGATAATTTTATGGGAGAAGTTTTTGTATAAGCCATTGGGTTTCTCACCTCTCCTGCACTTATGTATTATTTTACTATCACCATTAGGGCTGTGACGTTTTTTGTATAACCGTGTAATAAATGATTATGGATGAAGACCGTGATTGTTGTTTTAAAATCAACTTCATATTCAAGTCGGCAAACTTTACCCTAAAGAAGCAAATCAAAAGGAACCCTGGTTTATATCTAACAGCTGATTATAAGGAGAGAAACCCGGCCATAAGGAAAAACCCGGCCATAAAAAAAGATGACACGTGCGGTTGAGTCCGTTTCCACGTTAACATGGACTCTTTACAACGTCATGAAACTTTGCTGCTCAGCAAGGTGTTGTAGCAAACACATCTTCGGTTACGCAGGAGCGTAGGAGAGGAAAAAAATAGTACAAATAAATATATCGTAATTGCTATTCGACCGATTTTATAATGGTGACTGCGGTCATTTGGCTGATAAATAACCTTCATCCGTTTCCACGTTAACATGGACTCTTTACAACGTCATGAAACTTTGCTGCTCAGCAAGGTGTTGTAGCAAACACATCTTCGGTTGCCTAGGTTACGCAGGAGCGTAGGAGAGGAAAAAAATAGTAAAAATAAATATATCGTAATTGCTATTCGACCGATTTTATAATGGTGACTGCGGTCATTTGGCTGATAAATAACCTTCATCCAAAATTCCATGACCTTCACAACCCTAGTCATCGTTTTACTTGTCTTTCATTGTTGTGCAAATATATAAATACAATTTCTCTCTCCCCTCTTCTCTACCTAGGCTACATTCACTACCAGCCGTCCAAGGACCGCCTTCGGCCCCACCTGCTGGAGATGCTGGTCCAGATGCCCCCTAACTCTGTGACCGAGGTGACCGTGCAGTTTGAGAGGGCACTCCTCAAGTGGACCGAGTACACCCCCGACCCCAACCACGGCTTCTACGTCGGGTACAACTTGACTTTGACTTTATTGAGTCATGTTAACTTTTTACAGAAACTGAAAAAGGGCAATGCTATGGGTCAAGTTCTGTACTCTATCCATCTGTGTCTAATGAAATGCAAACTGACCGAAATGTTACATATAAATACATTTTTCATGTTTGCCTAGTGCTGTCAAAGCTTTTATAAGTGCCCTTTGCTCTTCAATTCTGAATGAAGATAGGGCCATGGCTGAAATTGAGATACTACTTGCTTGTGGTCTCTAGATGTCCAGGTTTGCAGTAGAAGATGTTTGATTAAATGTTGTCCCTCGCTTCAGGTCTTCTGTTATCAGCGCTCTTGTGCCCAGTGTCGTTGCCATGGATACCAACAGCACTCGGGAATGCCCACTTTTCAGCAGCTTGTGAGTAATGAGGCAGTTTTTTTTAAAGGAGTGGTTGAGCACTTACATAGTAGTTGTCTACTATGTAAGTGAGGTAATGCAATTTGAATGCATCCCAAGTAAAATCCTCTTTAAAAGTGGTGTACCATTCCTCAATTCCATGGAATTGACCCCAAACTCTCATAGGTAATAATAATAATAATAATACATTTCATTTGAATACCACTTTTCTTTACAGAGGAATATCACTAGCTCTACATTGGCAAAAATAAAGACATTCAATTTTAAATATGAAACTAAATTTTTTACATTAAACATACCTCATCTCGTCTGTCTTCCCAGTTTCCCCTGTAAAGAGGAGTCCAGTTACTTCATGCGGGTCTACACGGAGCCCTTGCTGGTGAACCTGCCCACCCCTGATTTCAGCATGCCCTACAACGTCATCTGCCTCACTTGCACCGTGGTGGCCGTGGGTTACGGCTCCCTCTACAACCTCCTGACCCGCAACTTCCAGGTGGAGGAGCCCAGCCCGGGCCTGGCCAAACGGCTAGCCAACATAATCCGCAGGCTACGGGGTGTGCCACTGCTGTGATGAGCCAGAATGCTAACTTAAACAACAACAACAACAGCAGAGGTCAGTGGCTACACCACTTGGGAACTGTGACCATAAGTTTCAGGAAGATACCGCTTTAAGCGCTGGAAACTTCGAAAAAAATTAATTAAAAAATAACTCTACGTTTCTGTTTCGTGAAGGATAAAGGAGTTGATGAACAATGAAGTGTCATGGATTCGATGGACGTTGAAGGCTTTTTCTTGCCCGTGAGAAGCAAAAAAGGGTGGCCTTTCTTTAGTGCACTACTGCTGTTCTAATTAAACAGGGAATCACGCATTTAAGGCAGGAAACAAAGTGTTTGCGCCTGGGTTTCATTGGAGACAGTTGGCTGCAAGCTCATTGTTGGTTACTGGAAAAAGTAATTGTCTGTTATAGATCACAAGGAAGCCATTGCTCTGAGATCTCAGAGTCTCAGAGTATGAGTGCTGATCTAGGATCATGTCCCATATAATCTTATTCATTGTGTTCTAGAAAACAAAACTGGTCCTAAATCAGCACGTTTGGTAAATGCAGCTCCAGATTCATCTCGTAAATGTTAACTGAGATAAATAAGGTTTGTATTTTTAGTTGATGTTGAAATGTTAAATGCACTGACTAACAGAACTTTCATAGCCAGTTGCCTTTTATTGTTTTGATATGTTGGATTCACATTTGTTCATTTATCATAGAACCAGTCAAAACGTTTGCACCCAAAAATCTCTACTGGAAACGACTGTTGATTTAAAGAAACTTGTCTTAGCCAGCCTTTGTCCAAATTTCTCTTTGAAGTTGTAGTGTTCTCTAATTGGCAGTACCTTTGGTAAGCCTTTGTAGCACAAATACCCAACAAACAACATTAAAAAGAGGAGTTTGCCATGCATTCTTATTAGGAACTAGACTAACTAAGGCTAAGTACACCCTCCATGCATTTACTTTTTAAGACTGCTCGTTCTTTGTATATTAAACTGCTCTCAATACTTACATTTTACTGAACAACATTAGAATGTGTGAAGATATATTGGGTAACCATGGGTATATATATAAAAAAATAATCTATAAACTGGCCAACTGACCAAACATTTATCATTTTTGTTTTAATCCAATGGCTTTAAGGCAAGGCACCATCCCCATATAAGGTAATTTTCCCCCTTATTCATATCACAATAAACTTTTACCAGTTGAATGTAGACATAAATATAATACTTTTTGTATTACAACTTTCCTGAAATATTGTATTAAAATATGCAAATTAGTCTCTCATAAAATATACCACAAATCCAATTTTCTGGACACTGGATGAAGTCAGCCTAAATTATTTTGTGTCATTTTGTTAAGACACTCCAGGACCGGGCGTGTATAGAGCCGATTGTGGATAAATATTGTTTTAATCTTTCTATCTGTGAAATACTAAAGTCACATATGTAAAATGCATTGTAGGTGAATAAAAAATAAAAATAAAATGTAAACTAGAATAAAACATGTATAACATATCAACAATTCCCTCTATATAAGTCTGGAGAATATATCTAAGGATAACCACACAACATTTGGTGAATGCAGATGCTTCTGAGGCAGAGAAGAAAATAGTTTTTCATGATGGAAGTGTCTGACTTTTGGGAAATGGCAGTTAAAGAGAAGTACAAGGAATTTAGCCTACCAATTGCAAAACACCTATTTAGACCCAATCACAATCTCTTCAAAGTTAGTTACTACATATAGTCCAGTTTGTAACATTCTCTACGAAATGGGCTTTTAATTACCTGACGACTCAAACTGAGTTCTTCCGCTGCTCTATCGTTCGCTACATACTTCAATCTGAGACTGCAATCATTGAAGTCGTTTGTGGTGACGTCAAAATGAGGGGTGTTGTACAAAGCAAAGTCATCAGCGATTGGATCGTCTCTAACCAATCACAGTATCAATGCCAATGATGCATTTTCAAATGCCGCTTTACCCACGTGTGTTCTGGCTCTGGCCCAACCCATCGTTTTTTGGGACCAATCAGATGGTCTAGAATGGATTTCCATTCTAGAAATCGTCGGGGAGGTACTCAGATCCAGACTCATTGCAGAGAAGAAACTAAAGTCCGTAGGCGTGGTGTAACGTTTTGCCGGAGCAAGGAGTTTGGGTAGCCAGGCAAGGCTTTTGAATTATAATAATATAATAATAATATGCCATTTAGCAGACGTGGTCCCGGGGATCGAACCCACTACCCTGGCGTTACAAGCGCCATGCTCTACCAATTGAGCTACAGGGGACCAATTATGTATTATTAAATGTAGTGAGCTTTGAAATTATGGATTTATGGCCATTTGAATGTGGTTAAAAGTCATGAAATTCTGATGACGGTAGTATGATGAACTAAATAATATATACATTTACATCAAGTTTTTACATTTTTATGTTTACTTTGTGAAATAACTAATGTTAAGGGACAAAAATACCCCCAAAAATCGAAATTGATAAGTAGATGCAAAAATGTCATTTAAGCCTGTGGTGCCTCGCCTTAAAAGAAGAAATACATGGAGGCTTGTAGAGGTTCAGGTCCCTGCTGTCCATATAATATTGTCCATTATGATCTAAGTCAAAACTCATTCTAGATCAGCACTCTCGCTTGATACATACAGCCCTAGATCACTGAAAAGGGGATTGTGTCCTTGATGAACGCTGTGAATCCCTGCTTTCCAGTCCAAAACATTATTTTCGGACAGCTATGAGAACTCTTGAGGATTCCTGAGAATAAATGATGAGGAACCACTTGGCTGCAGCTGAGCGTGGATCAACTGTATCATAATCCAGCAAAAGTCTTCACGACATACAGGGGCATCATTTCCCAAAAAACCTGAGGGGGCACAAAGTATGTAAGGATGGCTGGGGGGTGGCTCAGGAAGTTGGACAATTTTCTTTTTTTTAAATACCTGAAATAGCTTTTTCCTGCAATCTAGAGCCATAATCATTATGCTTAATTCTTTGTAAATAAAAATGACTTTTCTGCATATCTCTTAAGCTGTCTTTATCCTCCTTACTGGTGGTTCTTTTTAAAAATAAACTAAATATGCTTCCCTACATCTCGTCTACAATCTTGGTAAAATATTTAAAGGAATTAGTCTTCCTCATTACATTTAATTATTGCTTGCTTTTCTAAAGTCTACCAACCTTGCCAGCAGGCATGCCAGCTAAGATAATTAGACAAGCTAGCTACTCTAACTTGATTGATAGCCTGAAATGGCTTCTTGGTAGCTAGTTATGAGGTTGGGAGATTGGGAACCTACAGTATCTGGGCTAGCAAAAGCCAACTTCAGAAAATTGCTAGGTGGGTTTTAAGCTGGGTTTCTTTGTGACATCTGCTGATATAAAAAAAGGGATTTATAAATACATTGGATTGGTAGTATTACATGTATTTTAAATACAAATGAAAAAAGCATTTATTTTAAACTGGACAAATCTGAGGGGGCACAGACACCTCTGACGACATAACGTCATAAGCATTCAAAACAGCTGATGTAATTTTATGACAAGCCATACAGAATGGATCTATTCAGTAGGATGTAACATTACATATCTACTTGAATGTTTTGTATCATGAAGAATAGATATTGTCTACTCTATCGTATAGAATAGTGAAATGGTGTAATCTCTATTAATTATATTTCTATCTGTTATGTTCAGAACGTTTCACATCACTGAATACACCCAGGTCCAGGAGTTCACTTTCTGTATTCCATCTCATTTGCCTCAGCTGTGGAAGTGCGTGTATGTGGAGGGTAGGGGAAGGAGCGGCTGATTCTTTTCTCTATAAACAAACTTGGCCTCATTCCTGCCAAGCTCCAATAGAACATAGACAGACACAGAGGTCTCTTTCTTTGCCAGCCAGCAATTTTCTCTCTTGCATGTGTTTGGCACTCTAGAGTGGAACAAAAAAGCCCTCTGCATTCCTAATCAATGATGGTCATGTCCGGTTTAATAGCTCTGCTTAACTCAGTCCATTTAGGCAGGGAAGTGAGTATAACTTGGCAGGGAACATAGACGCTTTGTGCAGAGTTGAAGGTTGGGGGAGGTGTAGTAGCACACTAGAAGGTTTTCTAGAGGTTTTCTTTAGACAGCATCACTGGTCAAATAAAATAATATGTACTGACTCTGCTGGACAGCCAGAAAACGTGTACATACTTGAGCAATTTCCATTCTTGGAGTGTTCCATAACTTGTTATTGTAGCGCTCAGTGCCGCCATAAAAAGCCCATAAAAGGCATCTCAGAAACTCAAGACTTCCACCAAGGTCATAAATGCACAGGAATGTATTTAAAGGCTACACAGACCATTTTATTGATTGGAATACAAACAAGTAAAGAAAAAAAAACCTGAAGCATTCCTGTTCTTGGAAGAGAACTCTTATTTTTTTGTTGAAATGAAGGATTTGAGGAGTCTATTAGCGTTGTCACTAATTTCCCGACCCAAACCTTGCTGTCCTATGAGCATGGCTCGCTACAGGCGTGGCCGCAGGTTGTCCGGCAACACTTCTGTTCCTCTGGGCACTGACCGTCATGGTAACAGTACTCAGCACACATGGGGGTCCCCTTGGGCAGGGCACATCGACCGGGCTTCACTATGGTAACAGAAAAAAAGGTGTTCAGTTATACTGTCGCAACATAGGTCTATAGTAGCAACTTGTCAGTCTACACTGACTCTTCCCATTTGAAGTCTTACTATTAAAATGCTCGAGACTCTATATAGACTCTATAAGCAGACATGGCTCTGGGAATTATTCTGAAGTGTCTCAGCTCTAAAAAGAGTGTATGTGAAATATATCTTCCCATGTGCATGACATGTACATAACAAGCCCAGCTTTCTTGTTTCCGGAGTAATGCAGCAATAATGAATGCAATGGATAGGTCGTGTCTGTCACTTTGGGACCATATCCTACCTGTGTAAGGTGCAATGCACTCATGCCCACATCCGTTGTGGCAGCATTTTTCATCATTGGCGCAGTCACTGTCGTTGGAACAGAACTCAGCACACATCCCTGAGCCCCATAGTCTGCGAGGGCACACTCCTGGCTTTGCTTTTGGTACACAATTTGCAGAGCAGACATGTCAGGGAACCCAACTTACTGCAAAGGGACATGAACATATGGATACAATTGGACTGAACCATTTTCTGAAAATCTGTCATATTTGTGTGGAGATGGTTAGCATTTGCATTTGTGGGAAGACTGCAGACTATACCCCAAGTATTTTTGTGTCTAAATAAGTATAGGAGTCATTTGGCTTCCATCATCAATGTTTTCCCCACATCACCCATGAAAATGGATGACAGCATTCTGAACACTGTAAATCAACCAGTCAGGTTCTTACTGAAGGCAGGTGGGACACACACGGCACCACAGTCAAAGACACAGCACTTGTCATCTCCAGGACAGTCCTCATCGCAGACGCATCCCTTGTGTGACGGCACGACGTTCAGAAGCCGCGGGCAGTGACCTGCCTTCTGGAGGATCGGTACTGTGAGAGAGCAGGAGGAATTGTTGGAGTGAACTGTGGAGACCTCAAATCAAGTTAATTATGGTGTAATTACGCAGTACCATAGCAACCTTGCGGCAATGTTACAAAACAATTTGACCTCATGTTTTTTCTCAACTGAAGCTTTATAGTTCACATGCACACTCAGTGTATGCTTAAAATGTACGTAAAATTTCTAAGTAGGCTGGATTCTTTCAACTAGCAAATTAAAGTCATGATGGCTGGCTTGTATTTTTTGTAAGAAACAACAAAATAGGTTGCAAAGGTGCCTATGCACAACTATAGGCTAGTGTGTCTCACACCACATAGGTAGGCCTACAACAAAGCAGTCAAATGTAGTAGGCGCTACTTCAAAAAAGTATCTGTTTCATGACAAATAATGCAAAGTAATTAGAACAACTCACCTGTAGATTTGCCTCCAGTTTCAGCAGCAGAGACTATTTTCAAATCTACAAATGCCAACAGAACAATAGCCAAAGCACAAAGCGCTGAGGAATTCATCTCCATGCTGACTTCAAGACTGGAAACTACTTGTTGGAGCAAATACTCCAAATCGATTACATAAAAGGGGGAGAGCCCAAAAGAGAGACGAATGCACAGGGAAGAATGTGGCTGTAGGGTCCTTATGCCCTTCAATTTACATTCCGAGTTCGGATCAGAACACGCGCTTAGGTCACATGTAATAACAATCATTTAAAAATGGAAAAAGGGGTCCCCAAAATGGATAGAAATTCATAATTGGACAGAAAGGCACTCACCTCCCCAAACCCATGAGCAAAAGCAAATATTGTTAACATAAAAATAAGGATTTGTGTGGTTTCATTAGATAAGAAATTTATTAATATTACAGTGCCTTCAGAAAGTATTCATACCCCTTGACTTATTCCACATTTTGTTGTATTACAGCCTGCATAAAAAAATTATAAAATATATTCTCCCCCATCGACACACAATACCCCATAATGACAAAGTGAAAACGTGTTTTTAGATATGTATTGAAAATGAAATATAGAAAAATATAATTTACATAAGTATTCACACCCCTGAGTCAATACTTTGTAGAAGCACCTTTGGCGGCGCTTACAGCTGTGATTATTTTTGGGTAAGTCTAAGAGCTTTGCACACCTGGATTGTACAATATTTACCTATTATTCTTTTTTAATTCTTCATGCTCTGTCAAGTTGATTGTTGATCATTGCTAGACAGACATTTTCAAGTCTTGCCGTAGATTTAAGTCAAAACTGTAACTAGGCCCATTCAGGAACATTCAATGTCGTCTTGGTCAGAAACTCCAGCGTAGATTTGGCCTTGTGTTTTTAGGTTATTGTCCTGCTGAAAGGTGAAATTGTCTCCCAGTGTCTGTTGGAAAGCAGACTGAACCAGGTTTTCCTCTAGGATTCTGCCTGTGCTTATAGCTCTATTCCATTTATTTTTATCCTAAAGAACTCCCTAGTCCATGCCGATGACTAGCCTACCCATAACAGAATGCAGCCACCACCATGCTTGAAAATATAGAGTGGTACTCAGTAGCTAGGTTTCCATTCAATTAGCAACACATTTTAATGCGAATATTCAAAAATCAGAGCAAGGTTATTTTTATTTGTCAAGCGGCAGCCAAGCATCGATGATCATGTCACCAGAATAAGACTCTCGATAGTTATTGGAAAGGAGCTTCAAAGCTCATCTTGCATTTTCACCACCCTGTGAAGTTCATCATAACTTATTTAATCTGTTGCCTAATAAACTGCATGTTTTCCCGACGAGTCGTAGTGGGAGGACCACACGTCATCGTGTAACTCCAAGTTTACTTCGATATGATGGTTATTATATCAATATTTGGGCATAAAAGCGTTTCCACTGACATTTCTCGCATAATTAATATTATAGACACAAAAAGATCCCACCTTGTCCTGCGAATTTTGTTTTGTCGACATTTGGAAACCTGGTTAGTGATGAGTTGTGTTGGATTTGCCCCAAACATAAGGCTTCGTATTCAGGACAAAAAGTTCATTTCTTTGCCACATTTCTTTGCAGTATTACTTAAAGTGCCTTGTCGCAAACAGGATATGTGTTTTGAAATATTTTTATTTGGTACAGGCTTTTTTTCCCACACTGTCATTTAGGTTAGTATTGTGGAGTAAGTACAAAGTTGATCCATCCTCAGTTTTGTCATATCACAACCATTAAACTCTGTTTTAAAATTACCATTGGCTTCATGTTAAAGTCCATGAGCAGTTTCTTTCCTCTCCGGCAACTGAGTTAGGAAGCACGCCTGCATCTTTGTAGTGACTGGATGTATTGATACACCATCCAAAGCCTAATTAATAACTTCAGCATGCTCAAATGGATATTCAGCATCTCCTTTTATTTATTTTTTTACACATCTACCAATCATTTAAAAACCTCCCTGGTCTTTGTGGTTGAGTCTGTGCTTGAAATTCACTACTTGATTGAGGGACCTTACAGATAGTTGTATGTGTGGGGTACAGAGATGGGGTAGTTTTTCAAAAATCATGTTAACCATTATTATTGAACACGGAATGAGTCCATGCAACTTATGCAATTTGTTAAGCACATTTTTACTTCTGAACTTATTTAGGCTTGCCATAATAAAGAGGTTGAATACTTATTGACTCAAGACATTTCAGCTTTTATTGTTTAATTAATTTCAAAAAAATTCTACAAACAAAGTTCCACTTTGACATTATTGGGTATTGTGTGTAGATCAATGACACAAAGTTTCAATTTAATACATTTACAATTTAGGCTGTAACACAACAAAATGGAAAAAGTAAAGGGGTGTCAATACTTTCTGAAGACACTATACCATACCCTCAACATTCAAGCCAAAATTTGATGCAACCGATTAGCAACTAAACGTCCATAGTCTGTTTTCAACTGAGTTGGTAGGTCATTGACCACGTTTACAGTATTCTGGATAGTAGCTCATATCCAGCTTAAGGTCTTATTTGGAATAAGATGTTTACATGCACCTTTGACCCTCTCACGAGTAACCATGTTCATGAATAAATATAATTCATATGGGTTAAGAATAGTAACTGAAATCTGGACACTCACTGTAGGCCTATAACCTCTCACATGTAGCCTAATATAATATTAACTCCTGCAGAATTATGCATTTCTTGCAGTAAAACAATACACCATATTTTTATTTTGTCTCTGGAACAGGAGTGGAGAAAAATGATTTATTTATTTCAGCATCTCTTGAGAAAATGTGCATGTAATGTGTTATCTTTGACACTGTTATGCAAGCAGTCGGTATTTCAACCAAATAAATGATGCACCCAAGGCAAACTGAAGTATTATCAGAAACGTGTTTCATCATTTCTCAGCTTTTCATTTCCTTAAACCGGTCAAACTGATGACACAATCTTTCCACTGTTTTGGAGTTATTGTGTTTTTCTACCAGTGGCCTGGACCCTAAACATCCTTGAGTGTAGTGCCTATCAATTTATGACATTATTCTGGTGAGCACTGCTTTATTTAGTCTTCTAGGGAAACAAGTTATGAAACAAGTTATGACAGAAGAGAAGCTGTATGTAGGCCTATAGTTGACAAACCAAATGTCCGAAATTATAATACGGCGTACCAAATGTTGGAAATTATAAGCAGAAATTGATCTAAATTAGGGGTGAAAGTAGCCTAAACCAGTCGGTCCAGTACAGAGTATCAGCTAAATAAATTATTATGGAATTATAGTGATTTGTTTAACAATCCGATGAAAACATCATCACACAACACCCATGAAATGCGAAACTGAGCCTGTGCAGACCGCAAAAAAATAACAGTAAATGGGATAAGATGTTTACATGCCACAGTATCCCATCTAAGATCAGCATATCCCAGGTATTTTATACGAGGTTCTCATAACCGGGATACAAACTTTTTCGGGTTATTGTAAACGGGATATGATATGTGTAAACTCAAAAACACAATACTTGAGTATCCCGAATAAAAACGGGATATTAGTGTGCATGTAAACGTGGTCACTGACTGAAATGATTTCTGTTGAACTGCAGGTGAAAATCCCTAATGCAAAACGATTTATGAACTAAATGTGTCAAAATCGGTTGAGAGATATATAGAGCCCTGTGATTGGTTGGAGTCCATTGCCTCTAGTGTAGTGATATGATTTTTTGAAAACGTATAATTAATCTTTACGTATAGGCCTACACATGAATAGGCCTATATACACTACCAGTCAAAAGTTTTGGACACACCTACATATTCAAGGGGTTTTCTTTCTTTATACTATTTTTTACATTGTCGAATAATAGTGAAGACATCAAAACCATGAACTAACACATATGGAATCATGTAGTAACCAAAAAAGTGTTAAACATATCAAAATATATGTTATATTTGAGATTCTTCAAATAGCCACCTTTTGCCTTGATGACAGCTTTGCACAATCTTGGCATTCTCTCAACCAGCTTCACCTGGAATGCTTTTCCAACAGTCTTGAAGGAGTTTCCACATATGCTGAGCACTTGTTGGCTGCTTTTCCTTCACTCTGTGGTCCGACTCATCCCAAACCATCTCAATTTGGTTGAGGTCGGGGGATTGTGGAGGCCAGGTCATCTGATGCAGCACTCCATCACTCTCCTTCTTGGTAAAATAGCCCTTACACAGCCTGGAGGTGTGTTGGGTCATTGTCCTGTTGAAAAACAAATGATAGTCCCACTAAGCCCAAACCAGATGGGATGGCATATCACTGTAGAATGCTTTGGCAGCCATGCTGGTTAAGTGTGCCTTGAATTCTAAATAAATCATAGACAGTGTCACCAGCAAAGCACCCCCACACCATAACACCTCCTCCTCCATGCTTTACGGTGGGAACTACACATGCGGAGATCATCCGTTCACCCACACCTCGTCTCACAAAGAGACAGCGGTTGGAACCAAAAATCTCCAATTTGGACTCCAGACCAAAGGACAAATTTCCACCGGTCTAATATCGACTGTTCGTGTTTCTTGGCCCAAGCAGGTCTCTTCTTCATATTGGTGTCCTTTAGTAGTGGTTTCTTTGCAGCAATTCGACCATGAAGGCCTGATTCACACAGTCCCTTCTGAACAGTTGCTGTTGAGATGTGTGTGTTACTTGAACTCTGTGAAGCATTTATTTGGGCTGCAATTTCTGAGGCTGGTAACTCTAATGAACTATTCCTCTGCAGCAGAGGTAACTCTGGGTCTTCCATTCCTGTGGCGGTCCTCATGAGAGCCAGTTTCATCATAGAGCTTGTTGGTTTTTGTGACTGCACTTGAAGAAACTTTCAAAGTTCTTGAAATGTTTTGTATTGACTGACCTTCATGTCTTAAAGTAATGATGGACTGTCGTTTCTCTTTGCTTATTTGAGCTGTTCTTGCCAAAGTATGGACTTGGTATTTTACCAAATAGGGGTATCTTCTGTATACCCCCCCTACCTTGTCACAACACAACTGATTGGCTCAAACTCATTAAGAAGGCAAGAAATTCCACAAATTAACTTTTAACAAGGCACACCTGTCAATTTAAATGCATTCCAGGTGACTACCCCATGAAGCTGGTTGAGAGGATGCCAAGAGTG